AGTGAAGACTGCTTCCTGTATCTTACTTTGACATTGTTTGCCTGTTATTAGAAGGATATTATTTATTTCAGTATCATAATGCAGTGACTTGGCTTGCTTTTTATCACTTCAAACTTTTTCTGAATACAGGAAAGGAGTATTTCTTGTCTCTTTAAGATGAAATTAAGATATTTATGGTTAGTAAATCTGTCAGTATTGTTTGCTTCCACTTTATGTGAAAAGGTTTATAATTTTAGTTCATTAACTAGGCCTGGAATTTGGAAGTTTGAGTGATGTGAAAGCACAATGATGAGCTGTACGCTAGAAGTAGACTGTGAATTTTTAATAGAAATTTCATAAGGACAGAAAGGAATTACAAATCTCTTCTTCAGTTGGATGTGGAATGTATGCAGCTTTGTTTTTTGTTGTTTGGGGCTTTTGTTTAGAAATTTACTGATGATTGTATACTTCAGTGACGATAAATACCTTTGGTCTATGACAACTTTCATCCCAAAATATGCCTGCATCAATGCTACTTGAAAATTACAGGATCCCTTTAGTAAAGACAATAGTTCATCCCAATGTTTATGTCTAGCTATTCATTTGAAGGCAATAGGGGTACAGTGGCTAGACTCGATCTTGTGTTTTCTAAATTTATATAAAGCTGCATTTGAATATGGAAGAAGGTGATGACTAAATTATGTACTGGTATAATAGTCTTTATGTTATGCCTGTTACATTATAATAGCACCAAAATTTGCTGAAACATTACTGAGCTTTCTAAGTCATCATTTCCCCAAGACTATGATTAATTCAGCATAACTCTACAATGCCAGTTGTCTCCCTAGCCATTTAATTTCTTCTGCCTTGTGCTGACAGTATTGGCTACACAGTAAGCCAGATCAGGGAAATGGATAGTATTTGGTTGGCATGTCACTCAAAAAAAAAAAAAATTACATAATAATTAAAAATCGGTCTATCGAGTCATGAACATCTATTTTTGGTTTTCTTATGAACGTCTTCTCAGGTAGAGCAGAATATTTAACAGCCAGTGTCAGAATGGTCTTGTGTTTGATGGCCTACAGAAGAGAGATTAGACATAGTGGAGAAGCTCCAACAGACCAGGAAACTAGGTGAATGGACTGAAGTGGTGTCGATAAAGAACAGTCTAAAGGATTTCAGCCTGTGATTTTAGGTGATAATACACCAAAGAACTGGTAATGCCAATGGCTGCTGATTCTTCCATTCCAGCTCTGGTTTTGCACCCCTTCATAGTGCATAATATGGGTGAAATATTTGGGGATTTTTAGCAATTAGCATCTCTTGATCTGTTGTGTGTACGTCAGCCAGCATCTTTACAATGATTGAGTGTATTTGCTATACATCTTTATTTCCTCCAAGAGGGAAGGGATGAGGGGAAACAGATATAGGAGAGACTGACATTTAACAAGTAACTGTTCTGAGGATCTCTAAATGGTAAATTCCATGCTGAATAAGGCCCTGAAGGTGCGGGAGTTTACGTTAAAAACTTCTAGGGAAGAACTCTGCAAGTTAACAAATTTATCTTTAATTTTATTGCAGGACTGAATTTGTGCCTTCTTAGGGGAAAATATGGTTGAAAGTACGTATGAGAAGGCTGGTGAGTGGAGAAGATAAAGGGTGTGTCTGAAGCAAGCAGTTGACCAGGAAAATTAAGGCTGAATAACAACTTTTTTGCTTTTTGTAAGGTCAGAGTGATGCATATGTTTCATTATAGGCCTTCCCTGTCAGGCCAAGATGTTTAAAATTTCTCTTTGGTGCTGAAATATCATATCATAGAACCTTCAAATACTGTTCCCTGTTGTCTTGGGTTGGGTCAGACAACTAATCATACTGCAACAGTGACCTTGGTTATACTAAATCCAGCTGAATTCAAGCACTTCTCATTGTTGCAAAGCAATCTCTTATGCCAAGTGGAAGTTGCTTCACTTCTGAAAAACTTCTTTAGTTCCAGGTAGTTGAGTAGGCAACTATTTTGTTCTTTTTACTTGTTCTTTACTTCTGCGTTCACTGTTCTTTTTTAATTTGGAAAAATTAGACGCAAAATTTGCAAGCCTGACATTGTGATCTTGCTTTTAAAAAGGAACTTGGTTAAAATAATGTGCTGTGATAAACAGTAAGAAATTTCTGTGTTCATTATTTATAATAATCAGAAACTGGAGGAACTAAGCAAACAAAGAGCTTTATTTAGTCCAGACTTCAATTTGAGAAAAGCTGGCTTAAACAGATTACTTTAAATTGTGAGTAAAAAACAAGTTTGCCACTTTATAGACCAAAAGAATAACATTGTTTAAAAAGAAAAAAAAGGGATTTAAGAACAAGATGACAGTAAAGTGAATCCTAATAGCATGTTCTATAATAGCAAAATCAGGCTTATTGCAGTAAGACTCTGTTGAAGTTCCTAGGAGCAGAAGATGTGTGTTCAAGAGACTTTTTTAATTGGATAGAGAATTCTTGAGCCATTGAGGCTCATTTAATAAGCACTGGAATACTAGAAGGGTGAGGGGACAGGCACAGCTAATGATGCGTTTTATTTAGAAAATCTAAACAGGATGACTGGAGTAACTGTGGCAGTTAGTCTGAGATTGATAATTAAAAGAATTCTAGGCTGAAAGGCCTGAAGAATGCATTGTACAAAGAAAGGTGCCATAGTTAATGTCAGTCAAGACTTTTAATGACAAGTGAATCCAAAATATACTTGTCAGAATTTGGCCATAAGGAAGCCTTTTACTTTTTCTAAAAAAGCAAACTAATTAGTAAATCAGAGCATTGAGGTTTTAAAGTATCTAATGACTAGTTAGTTGGGTCTAGCAGTTTTTCTGTTGAATGTGGCCTATTTCCTTCTAAATAATCAGAAGAATATGTAGTTAAGACTTATAGATCTTGTAGAGGAAGAGATGTGGAAGAAAATAATCAGGAATATTTAGTAAATGTGACTTGTGTGAATTTAATGTGAATTTTTAAAATGCAAAATGTTTGCCCTTTGTCCTAAAAGTGAATGCCTGTGATGTGGAAAATGGAATCTAAAAGGAACCTAAGGTGTCTTGTTGGTAACCAACTGACCATGGACTTCCATTCTACCAAAATAATGAAAAGCTTCATCTATCAAATGAAACAAGAGAAATTTTAGGTATTTCTGTATGGCATTAGATACGGTGTTCTGTGCTGTTGTCAGCACCTCAGAAAATATGATGTCCGATTTCAGGTGGTCTTGAAAACCAGCCTTGTGGTTGGTTTGTTATTTTTTCAAAGGTACCGTGCCTTGGGAAAAAAAAAAATTGGCTGATTTTTCTTATCAGGGATGCTGTGGAGGGATTAGATACAATCTGAAAATACATAATATCTAGCTAAAGTGGGTTTTTTTGTTGTTCCTTAATGTAGCAAACAGACCTGACAGTGTAAACAGTCAATTTGGAATTAGTATATATTCTAAAAGTAATTTTGCCAACAACTTACGGGACAGTGTAGTGCGTACTTTGATCCTTCCAGTCTTTACATAAAGATTATAGATACTATAGCTGTCTAGTTCAGTCAGAAGCCTAGATGCGACTTGTGACTCTTGAGATTCTGTGCTGTGTTTTATGCACCATTTCATGTTACTGATTGAAGATGGTTCCAAATTGTCCTCAGCCAGACATGGGTAACTGTTCCACAACTAGAGAAACAGGGAATTGTGCTGCTGGATCAGATGAAGGAGGTGTTTATCTTAGTTGTGACCCTGGAAGTGACTGAAACTTTGAAAGTGTCAGTCTTCCTGACAGTTTCACATGCACATCTGAATGGTAAGGAATAGAAAGCTAAGAAGCCTGTTTGGGATCATTAACCTGGGACAGTCTTCTCACAAGCATGTTCTGTTTGTAGTTTAGCATATGTACCTCACTTCTCTGCCTGCTTCACGTAGTAAATACCCTGGCCTTCCTGTGAATGGATACTCTGTTTACATGAGTAATTCTGCGTAGAACTGTACTAGCGGAGTTGCATGTTGCAGTTTTGTCATCACATGGTGAAGCCATGAGGTGTTCCTAGTAAAGGAGAAGGTAGAAAGTGAGTAGGAGCAACTGATTGTAAATTACTACATTGTAGTACACGGGGATTAATTCTAGTGGTGACTTTCTCTGCGCCTTTAGTTTTGTGGTGTTATAAAGGTAAATGAACCCCTTCTGATAGGGACTAGTTTATTATTAAATGATGCCAGGTAACTTACAAATCATACATATTTGTAAATGTTTTGCAAAAGTTAAGTTTTCTCATAAATTGTGTGCTGACTGTAAGTATTGGAACATCTTGGTAAGCTTATGTTCTTTGATTTGTACTTTTTAGAAGGATAAGTATACTGACAGCTTTGTATTTAGAAGGGACCCTGGTTTTACACAAAAAAGGACAAAGGCTGTTCTCCAGAAAACACATAGCTGACTTCCCTCTACGCATCAAACAGAAGTATAATCTGATTGCATATAAACAGGTTAAGTAAATATTACAACATCCTTTTCATGATACTTCCCTCTCCCGCACACTAATGACCTGTAGAAGTTTCTGTTAGAAAGTGGTTTTGAGGTGTTTTTTCATTTATTAAGAGACATTGAATGTTATAAGAAAAATTAATATTTAACTTCAAGTCATTCTTCTCCTTTCTGCCCCAAATACATACACCCTTATTGTGTGAAAGTATGTAGGCAATAGCTCTGCAATAGGTTGTTGCTGTGTGGTTGGAGACTGTTCTCATTTATTAAAGGAGTTAATGTGTTCAGGATTGTCCTTGCTTCTTATAGTTCAGCTGTACTCATTTTTCAAAGCAATAACCTAATTGCTTGTACTAATTAAAGTGTGTTAGCAAAGCAGTACAGTATTTAGGTCAGCTTTTCTTCACTGTCCTTTTGTGCTTGTGTCTCCTGTTCCTGGCATTTCCCAGTTGCTACAGGTCCTCTTTTCAGACTTTCAGTGTGTCAGCCTTCATTGTGATGCTTGATGTTCTACTCCTGTCCTGTTCTGCTTTAAATCACGTGACCCATTTTCTATATTGTCCTCCTGTACCACCAGTAAACACAAAAGGCTGCAAAATTCAAGTAGTGTCTGTCAGAGATGTACCTAACTGGACTGGTTTTAACTGGTCGAGTATAGAGTTGGCAGTCTGAATTATCCTTTGGTTGAAGTGATCTGTAGCTTGGTGTCTAGTTTGTAAGCCTGGTGAAGGTGCAGAGCGCATTACAGTGAGTAGAAGAGAAGGTTAGCCCCAAGAAACGTTCTTGAAGTTCTCAAATCACTTGCTGCTATTTCCAGATGTGTGTGAATGTTTGATGTGGAATTCAGGACTGAAGTGGATAATCTGTTGTAGGAGAGGGGAAGGCTATATATTATGGGGTATGTAAAATGAACTGTATGTTGCTCTCCTGCTGTTAATCTTTTTATCAATGTTAGAACTTGTAAGTTGATACTTCCAAGATGCAGTGTTCGTGTGCAAATACAATTTTGTAGACAAAAATTTCTTAATGGGATAAATGATGCCTTTCTTGAGTCATACAACTTGTGCCTTCAATTCAGATTTAACTTTTAAAGTATTTCCCATGTAACATGGAGGTTGCTTATGTAGTAGAACAACTCATTTATTTGTTTATTTTAAATCTGTTCCGCTCCGCTCTTGAGATGAGTCTTATCCTCAGCTTGGCCATCACTTTTACAGTTTTACTTTCATCTCCCATGGCTGACTGTCCCACTGTTCATATAAAAATTCCTCCTGGGCTTTCATTCTAACATGTAAAATGGAACTTGTGTATTACCAACTGACCTGATAGTTGTTTATGAAGATATTTTTCGTCTTCCTGAAGAGTAAGATCTTTAAACTTTGGAAAGAAATTGAATCTCAGATTAATACTTCTGCAAGAAGGAGGATAATTTTTTTAAAGAAAACAAACTAAAAGTACAAAGGTCCCTTCCTGATGTTGCTTTTGTTATCAGTATTTGTCTTTTCTGACAAGGTTAAACTGTTCTCTGGGAAAAGTGTTTTTGAGTTTGAAAATCAGATAGCATGCTGTCTGCTGTAGAAGAAATATATTTAAACAAATGTTTTTGTGTTGTCTTTTCTCCTGTTAGGAAGTTCTTTCTGGAGTTGTGGTCATAACAAGTAAGGACACAGTCCAGCACCAAGGAATCTCGTTAACAATGGAAGGATCAGTAAATCTGCAGCTTAGTGCCAAAAGTGTGGGTGTGTTTGAAGCTTTCTATAACTCTGTCAAGGTAAGACCTGTGCAGGTTACTATTTTTAGCACAAAACCTTTGTCACTTTTCTCAAATCCTTCCGTAATGGCTCTCAGGTAGTTATAGCACTTCATGGTATGTAAATGATAGAAAGCAAAGCAATGTTCAACATTATCTAGCAGTATATGCTGACATTTTGAGGAAGGAACTTGCAGTGATTGGAGAGAGTTTTTTAGGGCTGAAATACAGTAATATAAATAGTATGGTTACTGAATGATGCATTGAAGAACCATGATTTAAAGAAAAATAATATTGTGTGATTTTTTTTTAAATTTTTTTTTTTTCTTTAAAGTGATTTGGTTTGACTGGACTTTTGTGCCAGATCATTCACTATCACAGTAGTTTCTGTGGAGGCCTTTGAGGTTGTGCTTTACTAGGCATGATACAGGACCTGTACAGATTCTTCTATGGAGCGTGAGGCTATGCACAGGGTGTTTGACTGCAGAGATCCTGGAAGGCCTCTGTACTGCTCTCCAGGTTTGGAAGTGTGGGGTTTGGATTCTAGCAGGGCAAGTTATCTCAGACTCCACACAAACATGGCTGCACTGATTGAAGAAAGGCTGGTTCTGTCTAGAGGCAGTATAGCTACATTTGCAAAGCAGTTTGTTTAAGTTAGAGTAGCCTCGGTGCAGGGCCGTTAAGGTCTTAATTTGTATCATAGTTAATTTGTTTACAGTATGAAAAATCTGCCCATGAATGACTGAAAAAGCAAAAAAACCCAGTAGAAGCAATAGATTCTCTCATTGCTGTCTAGTAGGTGGAAAATAATAGTAAAACTCCAGAGAGAAAAGAAGTGTAATCTTCAAGCGGGCTTCCCCAGTCCAATCATGGTTAGCCATTATTCCAGTGAGAGACTAGCCCATAATATAGACTTTTTTTTTTTTTTGAGGTAGGAAAGGGCTGGGAAGTAGGTAGGAGGGAATGGCTAACTGCTCAACTGGCACACATACTAGTTGATTCCTGCTGCTACTATCAAGCATCATAATTTAGAGAATGGAACTCTGTTTTCCAAAGAAACTCTGCTGTTTAGTTCTCTAAATATGTTTGGTCATTAGTGTGATACAACCGTAAAGTAGATCACAAATTGTTTTCTTAAGGAAAGCATTCTTGATGTTTCTTGTCATTGTAGGACAGGAGAGCTGTGTGTTGTGAAGAAATACCCAAGTTTCTGGAAATTCAGGAAGTCTGTTAGAGTTCAGTGAATGTTGTTGATTCGTGAAATGACAGGTCTGTCACTCTACTTTAACCTAAACCTCTCTGTATTTATTTTTGCAGCCTATTCAAATTATTAACAGCACTATTGAAATGGTAAAACCTGGGAAACTTCCCAGTGGCAAGACAGAAATTCCGTTTGAATTTCCATTGCATATGAAGGGCAACAAAGTTCTTTATGAGACGTACCATGGTGTCTTTGTTAATATTCAGGTAAGACACTCATGTGTAAAGAAAATCTGAATTTTTGTTATCTGCAGAATGCATTCTAAAGTATCTTGTATTCCATGGAAGAAGAGCATAAAGTTTTGTGATAAAGTTTTATTTTCTCAATTTGAAGAATGAGCAGAAAGTTAGAGATCCTTTGAAGTAAGTAGCTTTTAAGCTTCCCCTTTTTAATGTAGCATTCTTCTGGTGTGTACTGTATTTTCTAGATGAAATTTAAGATTAAAAATCATGATAGATCTTAACCTTTAAAGTACTAGTTTGTAGGTAGTTTCTAGTTGCCTTTTTCGGTTCCAGTTTCTAGGAGTAAATACTTTCCACAGGTGGTAACACTTCCTAAATGTGGCAGAGGAACCTTCCCAAGATCTCAGAATCCCATCAATATATTGTTGCTTTTGAAAAATTGTTGTGATGTCTGTTCCCTTTTATTTACCAGAAAGTTTAAGGTTTTCATTGGAAATAGTTGATGGTAATGAAACTGATCAGATGTAACATGGGATGTACAAGAGAGAATTAAAAGCCTACTGGAAAGAGGGACTTTGGGTTGAGAAAGGATAAAATGTATTTACTGTGTTTGTTAAATCTTGTACAGTTCTCTTACATGGTGATGATTTCATCTAGTTCTGATCTTATTTTCAAAGAAGTTGCATTTACTGTTTTGTAGATAATCTGCATAGTAGTACATATCCAAATGCAAGTGTGTGTGGTGTTAGCTGAGTACCAGTGAGACTTTGTAAGCATAGCAGACAATTACTGCTAATAATACTTAAAAATTAAGTGTACTGATTTACCACATCCACTTTAAGAATACACGGGGATAAATTCTACAGCTACCTAGTGTTCAGAGTCTGTTTTCCTGCATTCATTTGTGAGAAGAGTCCTCTAACTAGAGGAAATCTTTCCACCGTTTATTGTTTCAGGCCTTCTGTATGGAGTAAGTCTTTAAAGAATGATGGCGTAAATAGAACAGTAACAAGATGTCTTGCCTGAAATACCTTGTCAGAACTACCGTAACATATACCTGATCCTTCCTTATGTTGTAAACAAGTACAACCATTCCCTTCATGGAAAAAAGAGTGCACCACAGTGTCATTTTGTTCAAAACAAATGTAGCTGTGTAACTTCATAATGAAGACTCAAACCAAAGTGTTGAGAGCTTGTAGCATCTTCAAATACATGAATTGTTTGCTTTCCTGTGGAGATGCGTAATAACACTTCCTGTCCAAATCTGCACGTACTGTATGCTTGTAACAGAATCTTATGGAAACACAGTTTTGAAACTTTTTTAGTTAAAAATTATCTTACCATAGGTGGGTTTGTTTGGTTGTTGGGTTGTTGTTTTTTTTTTGAAGGAAAGTCTTTCTTCAGCCATCTCTTGGATGTAAATACTGTGTTAGACTATGCTTTTTCCTACTGAAGAGTGGTTTTTTTGGTTTGGGCTTTTTTTTTTTCATTCAAGGAGCCACTAAATGGAAAAATTTCCAGACCAGTGCTGGTGAAGAATCACTGGGTTGTAAACTTCTCCCTGCCCCCCACCCCCTACTGATAAGAGTATTTGATTTGATGACAAAGTGCAAAACTGTTGGCTACTTAGCTGAACTGGAAGTCTCATATTATAGTCTGGGAATTAAAAAAAACCCTAACAAACTAACCAAACCCCCACAAATAGAACCCCACCTACTAGCCTATCAGAAGTAACTAAAAGAAAAATTTCACTGTTTTTTTTGTCTACATTCTGTTGTTTTTTTTAAATACTTCCAACATCTTTTTTCAGTCTTGGCTTTCTTCCTAATGTTACATCTGTTGTTTGTGGTAGGTATGTAAAAAATGGTGCAAAACTGGTTGAGTTGCTTTTCATAATCCAGATAACTCGCCTATGATCAATACCAGTTGTTTTAAGGTATACTTTAATGGTGAATATTTGTTTTGTTTTGTCATTCTCTCTCCCATCTACATAGCTTCTCTTTACAGGCTGGGAATAAAATGTAATTAAAAGGTTAATCATTACATTTCAGCCCTTAAGAGTCCTGCTTTCCTGAAGACGAAAATGTTATGCTGGAGGTGCTATTTAAGAAACACTTCCTAGACTTCTGTCCAAGGCCTCTGCAGCTTAAAAGCAAGCCTCTCTTTCTTGATCTAAGTATTAGTATGTTAGCTGGGGGTTCAGTATCGCGATTCAATTGTCTGTTCTTATTCAGAGACCTTTTAATTAGACACTGATGGGGAGGCTCTGGGCCAAACTGCATGGCCTGTGTGGTCCTGCTTGCCTCATTACACTGTGTTCCCTGGTCTGAGTCAAGTGTAGGGCAGTGATAGAAGGCTTGCTCAAGAGTGATTAACTGCAGTGGAAACCATAGTCTGTGATGGGGAAAGAGATATGCTCTCTGGTCTCGTTCCTGCACACATATTCAGGTTATGTGCAGAGAGACACCATGAACTAAAAGTTACAAAGCTGAGTGCCTAGTCTGAGTGCACTTGTGTTTGACAATTCCTAATCTGTAAAGAAGAATTTAAAAACAGAACAAGCAAAACAACAAAAAAACCTACCTCAACAAATTCCCTATCTTGTAAGGACATTGAAAGGCCATGTTAGAGATGCTGAAGTGTATGATTACTGTGATAACCAAGGTCACACTGTTCTTCAGTCACTGGTTTGTGGCTTGTTTTTTAGGGTAGAAAGGGGTGCAAACTGGCAGCAAGTTTCTGAACAGTGACCAGCAAAATTAACCTTGTTGCCTGACTTGACTGGATGCTGCTGCCTTTAAGTCCAGCTATATGGTTAAAGACAGTTCCCCATTAAATATGCATATAACTATTACCACTGCTAAATGCAATCTTACAAGAAATTTAAAATTAGAGGGGCTGTGAATACAGCTAACTGACAATCACTTATCCAAAATACAGTGAAAAGCAATACCATAATCACTCTTAACTAAATGTAACTTGGGTGCTGAAGCTGTACAAGAATACCACACTCTGTCAGTGAATTAGTCCCTCATTCTCACAGGTTGCTACATAACACAAAAGATACAGAAAGCATTTGCCAATGACTATGGGACTGTAAACACAGCTTTTATTGGGAGCATCTACGATCACTTTATATCTCTTCTCTCCTTCCCCTTTCCCCATCACTGATATATACATTGCCTATTGATCTGTTTTAAACGATGCCTTAAATATTAATAACAGTAACATTCTGCACATGTGCAATAAAAAGATGAAAAGTTGAGAGAGAGGGGAAATCTTAACTAAGGTTCTCTTCTTTGCCATCGTAATCTTGCCAGTATACCCTACGGTGTGATATGCGACGTTCTCTACTGGCAAAAGACCTGACTAAGACTTGTGAATTCATTGTCCACTCACTGGTAAGTGTGGTTTGTATTGACTATACAAAGTGAGAGGTTTGGGTTTTTTCCACTTTAAGTAAAGCTTGGCAGTAAGGTTAGAAAACCAAGTAAAACCATGTCATTTGTAATAGCAACACATGGGATATGTACAAGTAAAGGAAGCTAGCTAGCCTCAAAACAAAACCATCTAGAATAGCTAGGGTGTCAGTTGCTTTTGATTAGAATAACACATCTCTCTTTTAATTTAAAGAAGATAGTACAAAGAGGATTTGGATTCTAAGATGTGTTTGCACTGAGTTTATTCTCTTATTCATCCTTTCAGTTTTGAAAGAATGGTGTGGTTAGATAGTGTTGCATTTTTCTTTAAACACTATGTCAGATTATCTGAGCATTTCTTAGCCAAAAGTTCCAGGCAACCACAATGCCCGTCCTAGAAATGGGAGTTAGTTGATGAAGAAAAAATACCTGATTTCTGTTCTTCAGATGACTAATTATGACTCAAAAGTATCAAAGCTGGGACTGCATCAAGTTGGAAATAAGAAGCTTGTCAGCTTAATCACCTTTACTATTAAGTAAGCCCAATGGTTGGCAATATGTTAAGGTAACCAGGTTAAAAAATATCCACATCCTGTGGTTAGCAACATGGAGACAGCCTTCGTCCTGTAGAGATATGTAATTTTGGGATGAGATTTGGCTGTCACAAGAAATGCTTTGCTGCTTGTTATATGAAGTTCCTTTATCAGATTGAGTTTTACTTTATGTTGACTTGTACACATGTCCAGAGCATCCAATGTCAGTACAGACTGTGCAGGCCTAATTAATTATCTGTTTTTCCACCCACAACTTGCTAGAACATACTGTTTGTTTCATTCCTTTGAACTTTAACAGGACAATAAATTATTAGACTCTTTTGTCTTACTTATGAATAATGGTGGAAATATGTTATTTTAGTTCTACAATGCCTTTTTAAAAGATTTAGATAGGTGCTATAAAGAAGTTTCCTGTTGGTAAGATTTTTTTATTTTCTAAAATATATTATGCTACATTTTATTGGTCCATTATTACAAGTAAGCCACACTTGTCAAAACAGTGAACAAATTAAATATTACGCAGTTTCCTGGTTTTATTTTTTGTTCCCACTACAGCACTTCTTAGATCACAAGTCAGTAAATATGAATCTCTCAGTCAGGGTGAATTAATGAGGTTTTACTGAACATATAATTCTCACTGTCAGTGCTCAATGTACCATTTCCCTTAACCTTATTCTTTGCCAGAATTTGGCATTTATGAGAAAATACAGTTTTTTGCTAATATCTTTCATCTTGTAGCTGGGCAGCAGAAGCTATTTTGAATTCTTAAGTAGTGAGGGTAGATCCTAACTAAGAGTTCATGTTAAGCCCGTTGGTGGTGGGGTGCTCTGCCAACTCCCAGTTAGAAACAGTTGGGAGTCTCATTATTGATGTTGCACTGGCCACTTACTCTGAATATGTAGGGGAAAGACAGTGCACCTGACTGAGGTAAGGATGGAGAGAAGTCAGTGGATGGTAAGCGAAACTTCCCTTCCTGCTGCAGAGTACAGGCTGGGAGCTCAGGGCTCATTCAGCCACTCATAGGAAGACTTAACTTCTTGCTTTTGTGATAAATGGTGTAAATAGATACTGAAGAACCCTAATAATGTGCCCCCAGAATTGCTTCTCCAGTGTGGAAAGCTAACCTGGACCAAGTTCTGTTTATTTTACAGTTAAAAGGAGCTGGAGTGCTAAGCCCATTAAATCAACACTACACTAGATTCCATCAGCTGAGGATCTCCTAGTAATATGAGGATGGCTTAGAAGACCTGAGCTGTTATTGAAAGGCCCGCAGAAAGAGTTCAAAGTGCTCAGATAACAGGAGGGAGAGAGGGTTTATGAAACATATTTGAAGCAATGGAGGAAGTTAATTTATAACCTTCCCCTCTCTACTCTGCCCAAATTTACTGAGTATTAATAATGAAAAGAAACATTGCAAGTGATGTACAATATGTAATTATTTGTAAATAAAGAAGTGTGAAATGTAACTTTTTTCTATAGCATACCATATGCTTCAGCTAGGTAGTGTACTTCCTCTTTTCCAGGTGGTTTAGAGTAGTCAACCACATGATTTGTTTTTGCTTTCCTTTTTGGTTTTTTTTTCAGTGTAGGTAGAGCTTATGCCAGAAACTTAAAAAGGGAGAGCTTGTTGTGGTTTATTGCAATGGCAAAGACAAGTGACCAAAAATTGATGCAGTTCTGTTACTGCAATTCAGATTTGTGATGCATTGTGACTTGTATTTAGACAGTATCATGATGTTATTTAATGACAAAGGCAGGAAATTTGGGGTGTTTTATTAGATAGATGCATACTTTCAGTATGAAGACAGTCCTGAAAACTAATACATCCAACAGTTGCTTGACTTCGTTGTTTAACTCTTTCATTACTTATAGTCACAGAAAGGGAAACCGATGCCAAGCCCAGTAGACTTCACAATTACTCCGGAAACATTGCAGAATGTTAAAGAGGTAAGGGTTTTCTTACTTTCTTATTTTAAATGTAATGCTTGTGTGATTCTGAGCTTGAGTGATTCCTCTAAGAGAGGAATGATTAAATGCTGCCCTGCAGATAATCAAGCTTTTTTTTCCCCCTATTCTTTTTTACTTTTGTAAGCAATAAAGTGATTCTGCCTGATCTCTTGTGATAGTGGTGACTAATGTAAGGTGGAGCTTTTTTCAGTCATGGTTAAACATTTTATCATTTTTCTGAGTGACAGATGGCAGTGAAGAAAGGGAAAACATTCTATACCATGTGTAGCTAAGATCCTTTAATAATGTGTATTTTGATCCTTGGTTATGCCTTATTTTACAGCCCCATGTGGCTTTGGGAAACCTGTATGAACAGCAGTAGTTCTCTTGGTCATTTAGCTTTCTGAACACTGGTTTCTGTTTGTCCACTGAATCCTGTGTTCTGTTTTTCCAGATCTTTCAGTGGTGCTCTTTTTGTTAATAAGACTACTTTCCTGCTTTAGTCCTCCCTTCTGCATCCCTGATTTGTCTTCCATTGCCTTGAAACAGGCCTCTTAATCAGCTGTTTTGTTATTTCATGCCGTTGTTGACCTTACTCTACATATTTACAGAATCACTGTGGTTGGAAGGGATCTCTGGAGATTGGTTAGTCCAGCCCCTGTGCTCAAAGCAGAAACATCTAGAGCAGGCTGCTCACGGCTATGCGTAGTCAAGTTTTCAATATCCCAAAGAATGGAGACTTGTGCAATGTTACAGTGCTTGACCACCCTCACAGAATTCAAAAAAAAAAAAAAAAGTAATTTCCTTTTATTTCAATTTGTTCCCATAGTCTTCTGTCCTTTCACTAGATACCACTGAGAGGAATCTGACTCCATCTTCTTACTCCTTCCCATCAGGTATTTATACATACTGATAAGATCCCCCTGAGCTTCCTGTTTTGCAGGGTGAACAATCTCAGCTCTCAGCCTTTTCTTGTATGACACGTGTTCTTAATCATCTTTGTGGCCAAATCCAGCAAAGGCTGGGCTTGCTCCAGTCAGCCTGTGTTTCTGGTACCAGGAAGTCCTGAATAGGACACACTATCCCCAGTTTAGTCTTACCAGTGCTGAAGAGATGGGGAGAATCCCCTCCTTCAGCATGTTGAGAACACTTTCTAATGCAGCTCAGGATGCTGTAGGCCCATTTGTCCAGCCTGTTGAGGTCCCTGTGAAGGGCAGCACAACTATCTGGTTCATCATCCACTCCTTCCAATTTTGTATTATCTGCAGCCTTGCAGAGGTTGCACTCCATCTTTCATCCAGGCCATCACTGACGATATGAAGTAATAATGGCTCCAGTGTTGACCCCAGTCACTGGTGTACACCACTTGTGACAGGCCTTCAGCTGGACTTTGTGCTACTGATCACAGACCTCTGAGTCCAGCAGTTCAGGCTGTTCCCAGTCCACCTCAATGGTCTGATCTGTACATCTTGTCTGTACTCCATCAGTTTGTCAGTGAGGCTCTTAAGAGAAACAGTATCAAAAACAGCACTGAAGCCAACATAAACGGTGTCACTGCTTTGTTTGCCCACCAAGGTAGTTATTTCATCACAGAAGGTTGGTTAAGCATGATTTCGTTTTCATAAATCCATGTTGACTGCTTCTACCCACTTTCTTCTCCTTTATATGTTTGGAAATGGTTTCTGGCATTACTTGCTCCATCGTTTTCCCAGGGACTAAAGCAAGGCTGAGAAGCCTATAGTTCCTCAGATCTTTCTAACTGAAGATGAATGACATCTGCTATCTTCCATTCCTCAGGAACCTTCTTTGCTCATGACAGCCTTTCAAAGAATCAAGATTGGCCTCATGGTGACCTGGGTCAGCTTCCTCAGCACTGGTGGGTGTGTCCCATCAGGTCCCAGGAATTTGTAGTCTGTTCAAATGTCCTCTAACTTGCTGATCCTTTACCAAGGATAACTCTTCCTTATGCCAGACCTTCCCTGTGGTTGCAGGGGCCTGGGATTCCTGAAGATAAATCTTATCAGTAAAGTCTGAGGCAGAGTAGACATTTAGTACCACTGTCTTTCTCATGTCTCTTTGTCACTAGGTCCCCTTCCATAGTCAGTAGTGGGCTGGCATTTACCTTCATCTTCCTTTTGCAGCTGGTAAGACTCATAGATGCCCCTTTATGTTGCCCTTCTTGTCTCTTGATTTAATTCCAGGTGTGCTTTAACTTTCCCAAAACCATTCCTGCGCACTTGGATAGTGTTTTTATGTTCTTCCTGGGTCACCTGACCCTATTTCCATCTTTTGTATACTTCCTTTTTATGTTTTTATTAGTAGCATCTTGTTCATCCATGCAGGTCTCTTCCTACCTTTGCTTGACTTTTTGAATATTGGAATAGACCATTCTTGAGCATGGAGGAGGTGATTCTAGAAAACCAACCAGCTGAGTCAGAGGATGAGCAGGTTGTGTCCAGCAGCTGTGTCTCTGGAGACTGCTGCATACTGAAAGCATATGGTTTTTCCAAACATAAGGATATAATAATTATTCTTGGTGGTAAAATTACTTTTGAGACTACAACTAAATACTGAGCTCTAAGCACTCTGCTCTTCCTATGAACTATGTATCCATATAAATTATTTTCTGTTTCTCTTCTGTATCTTGATACTCTTACTCACTGGCTCAGCAAAGATTCAGTGTTCATCATGAGAAAGGCCTGTCCATTAAAACCTCTTTCTTAAGTTTAGTAGCAGACCCTGTGCCTTTCTTTATTTGAAGTACATAACCACAAAAGTAGATTCTAAAACTTCTCAGATCTCTGATCCAGCAGATCTTGGTATTTAATTATGGAGCTGTCTAAAGAATGGTATTGAATGTGTATGGTTGCACAAGCAATGGCCTCTTGTGTTTTGGAGATTTTCTGAATTATTATTTTTCTATTTTCCCTGTCTCAGAAAAATGTATGGGTCTGAAGTGACTACCTGGTGGACAGGCAGAAAAAAAATCACTGGTTTTGTATAGTTGAAATACTAAATTTCAATTCTCTGCTTGTCTAGAGATTGTGACTGAACTATAATTTCTGGTAATCTACTAGAAAACTGATTATGAGGTTTGCAGTAGCCACACAAAGCACAAAGAGATTAGGTGAAAAAAACCAGGATAGATTTGCTGGTATGTTATTTATTCTCATTTTTGGGGGATTACGAAATAGAGTATAAATGATAGGTCCTGTGAGAGATCTAGCTAAGATTAAAATACGAAGAGTACTGACAATAGAAGGCTCTAGGGGGAATACACCTTTAAAAAACCCAAGTCTTGTAGACTAGGACTGAAGAAAATGGCTAGAGTTCTTGTTCTGCAAATTCCTTTTATCTCTGTCTCTTAGGTTCCTGTACTTTACGGGATAGCTGTATGGTGTTCCTGTGAAGCAGGGAAGTAACTCTGTGTTTACTAATAGTGGTGATGAGAAGAATCTGCGAGGGATCATATGATAAAAGCATTTTACTCATATGTTATTAGGTATTTTATAGGGTGGTTTTGTCAGGGATGTAACTTCTGGTTTTTAAGTTAGGGAAAAAACACCCAAATGAGATCACATTTACTAAACACATGAAAATTCTTCTTTATTTCCCCAAGATTTGTTTTGAGTGGAACAGCTAAATTCTGCAGACATGTTGGGTATCTGAGTGAAACAGTCTAAACAATAGCTGAGGAGAACTTGTCTGCTGTTGCTACTGGCAGCCAGGACTAAGAGGCAAAACAGATTGGGAGAAAAAAGTTTGCAGCAAGAGATTTGGTTTGGAAGAAGGGAAAATCAGTTACATGGGCAAGGAAATCTGATGCCACAAGGAAGTGTGAACAGATGGTTGGAAGGTAGGGGCTAATATCAAAGAGGTTGATAACAAAAAATGGAGGGAGCAAAGAACAAGGGCTACAAAGAAGGGGAAGGTTAGAGCAGGATGCTCAAAGAGTTTAAAGAAAGTTGGATGGTGAAGATATGAGCTGAAGAGGTGGGTAGAACTCTTGACTGTTTCAGTATGCCTCCTGCCAGAACTTGAAATGTAACTGGAGCTTCTGGCGTATGAGTTTCTCTGCTGGCAGAGAGTATCTGTGATGCCGGCTGGCCTGAAAAAGGGGAGGGCAGGGGGAGCAAAACCCCCGCTTTGGTCTTTTATGGAAACTGATTTATAGACTGTCATCCTTGATCAGCTATTCTTACTGCTCCTTCCTTAAAAAGCAGGAAACATGCTTGCTGCTAAGAAAATTTTAAAAGTGTGATCCTATATTCAAATCAAACTTTTATTAACTGTCCTTTATTGGTGTCTTGATACAAAAGTAATATGCTATGTCTTGCATTAAACACTTTTAAATGCCTGTCTTCCCTCCTAGTAATGGCCACAAGAAATTTTAAAATGTGAGAAAATCACTGACATAATAGACTATGCTGTAATCCATAACAACATGGGACTAGAATGCAGTTCTCTAGAGCACCACCACCTTGTTTAACTTGGCCATCCCATTAACTCCTGCCCAGCCTACCTCCTTCATCATGCCATTCCTGACTTCTGGATAATTGTAATAGCCAAGTTGTGCCAGCTCATCCCAGGAAAAATGTTCGTGTGGATGGAGTGAGTAGGGAGGATGCATGTCAACAGAGAGAGTAGTAAGAGATACCTTAATGCATCTGCATATGGATGCATATTTAAACAGTTTATTTGCTTGAGGCATTTCTGAACTTCTGAGTCCTTAACTTTGCAACTTTTTTTGACTTTCTATATACTTGGGAACTATCTTTCTGTAATGCATTTTTTTTCTTAGTCTGCTCTTACAGTTGTGGTTGTGTTTTTTTCCCCAATCTTTTCAGAGAGCTTCACTTCCAAAATTTCTCATCAGAGGTCATCTCAGTTCTACAAACTGTATCATTACACAGCCACTAACAGGGGAGCTAGTCGTGGAGAATGCAGATGCTGCAGTCAAAAGTATAGAGCTGCAGTTAGTACGTGTGGAAACCTGTGGTAAGTTTCTCTGTAAACGGAATGAAAACAGGTTGCAGTAATTACCACTTGCACTCTTTCAGCTTCAATATGAAAGATTGTCAAAAGCCATACGATTAAATAGACTTGCAAAAAAATTGGTTTGCACTTCAGGTAGAGCAGTCCAAACATAAATTTAAATGACCTCTGTGATCCTTAACTCAGGAGTGCTAATGTGAAAATTTGCAGGTCTGAGCAAAATAGTTTGCCCACACATACCTTTCCTCCAGCCCCAGTGTGTCTTTGGTTTAAATTTTAACCATTGCCTTCTCTTCTCTTTCACTTCCCCTCCTCTCTCTCTGAATTTCCCACTTTCACCAGGGTGTGCAGAAGGTTATGCCAGAGATGCCACAGAGATACAGAATATTCAGATTGCTGATGGGGATGTCTGCAGGGGCCTACCAATTCCTATATACATGGTGTTTCCCAGGTTGTTCACCTGCCCTACCCTGGAAACAACGAACTTCAAAGTTGGTAAGTGTGTAGTGTGGTATGCTGTGTTGGCCTCCTTTGTCCAACAGAAGTTTCTAGTTTCATTTAGCTTCTGGCAGATAAAAGGATAAACTGCAGTCAGCACTGTAAGAAGAACGAAGGACATCCATCTGTTTCCCTAGAGAAGTTTCCTGAACAGGATTGCAGTCTGCTGTATTTCATACAGATAAAGTACAGCCCAAGTACTTCCAACTAAAAACAGTTGTGCAGCTATTAAGCTACTTCTGACTAACAATTATATGGTAACAGGAAAGGAGAAGCAGTGTAATGGCAGGTAACTTTTTTTTTTCCTGCCAAAAAATTACATGGGAGTAACAGTCCAAGAATAAAATGCCAAGATGCTCTGTTCCTTCATCACCAGTGAGAACCCCTCTTCTTTTTGTTATTCTATGGCTGCTCAGACTGAGTAGTAGTAAGGTTAGGCTGTATGTGACTTTGCTTTTCTTGATCTACACTAGCTGCTTCTTCCTGCTTATTGTTGCCAAAATCCCACATTTTCCTTAAATGCCTGAAATTTAGAATTTTCCTCATTTGTTCAAATAATTACTGCAAAATTTCTCTTTGCTAGCCTGTTTTTCTTCACTTGATCCTGGTGGAATCTGTTGGTGGCTTTTTTTTTTATATCAGACTGAAGCTACAAGTCCCTGCCTTTAGGATCCTTCTCAACTGAATCATCTCCTACTTTTCTCCTATGTATCTTGGAGAAGTGTGCATAAGTTTTTCAGCTTTTCCTACCTGTTCCTCTTTTCCAAGAGCATTTTTTAACCCAATGGCTACAGTGATTTCCCAAAAATACTGTTGGCTTGATTTTTATTTATTTGTTTATATTTCTGAAATTTTTTTCTCATAGCTTGCAGGTATATTGTTTTGGAGTTTAATTTCATGAAACCATACATAATGCATGATTCTAAGGCTACATTACATGCTGTCAGCAGGGGAGTAGTCTGTCCCCAAACTCCCCTTCCATGCATATTGGTGTGAGGCATCTTTCCCAAAACATTTTGATCTTAGGCATCTGAAATCTGCTGGTTGGCCAGAAGACTGTATGTCCCAGTGTGTTGGTGATGGGGAAATGCATCCAGAGGATCCCAAAGGTGAGAACAAGCCAAGGTTCTCTAGGAAGGGCCCAAGGCCTAGCATGCCTGTGGTGAGGTTCTGCCTGAAGTACCATGTTCATCCCTGCCACAGGAAAATACATGGAGTCATAATGGCTCAGAAGAGTCCTGTGAAGTGCTATCTGAGTACAGGAACTCCCTGCCTCTCACCCTGCTGCTTTGGTTCAGATTCATACAGAACCCTATTTTTTTTGTCCCCTTCTTCCAGAGTTTGAAGTAAACATTGTTGTCCTTCTGCACGATGATCATCTCATCACAGAGAACTTCCCACTGAAGCTCTGCAGGATGTAAATAGCCAGAGGAGAATCACCTATGGATTTACTGAAAAAGGACAAAATTCTTCAGAAGCAAAGTGAAATTTTATCCATGTCTTAACTGAAAACACATCACTTCCTTGTCCCTGCCTTGTGTTTTCAGTCCTCCTTTGCTAACCATGTGATAGCCTACATGGATGTACCTATCCAGCCAGCCTTGTTTTGAACCACCATATTTTTCCTGATTTTTCTCAGGCAAATCCTGAAGGAAGGATTCTCAGTATTTCTACAACTTGTAGAAATATGTAGTAAGTTTCTCTCCTTACTTCATTTTGTAATACTTGTTCTGAAGTCCTTTAAAGACCTGTGAAACCTAGTATGGCCTATTATTATACATGGCATGTATATAGACTGGGGGGAGGGAATGGGACTTGTAATATAAAACTGAAGAGTGTCGTTGAAGGTATAATAAATGGTGCTACAACAGTGCACAGTGGTGGTGTGGGATCAATACTGCAAGATGAATGTGAAATGAATAATGACGTGAAATAACACCAGGTGTATTTGGGTCAAATTGGGAATATGAGTCTGCATTGGAAGAATGCATAGAGCTGAAGGTGTTCTGTGTGTGGTTTTTCCCTGGGCTCTTCTCAGGATTAGACAAACAATGCCCTTACTTTACCTTTGTGATATGTATAAAAAAGCATTGAAAAAGAAGATCAGGTAGAAGTTTTGTGTCTGAAAATATAATTAATTTGCATCATACCATCTTCCCTTTTATAAGACTTCTACAGCTCAGTTTTGATGTGGAAAAAAGTGTCAAATGACAAACAGTACTACTGAAGTGTTGCAGTCCAGCCTCTGCTGATAGTGGACAAACTGCATTTAAAAACTGCTCTGGTGTGGTCCCTTGTGCCTGTTATGGAAGGAACTTGTCACTACATGAATAACCATTCCTCAGAAGACTACCACACTTTTTAATTAGGAAGGCTACTATTGTCAGCTGTGCAACTCACAGCAGAAACATAAATGCCAGGAAAGTAATGTTAAGGTAAATACATTGAAGTGTTTCTAACTATATATCTTAAGGGAACTAGAGGAGAACTTTCAGCAAGAAATAACCTTCCCAATCTGAGCAGGTTGTAGGCTTTAATTCTAATGATGAGTTTTCCTTAGCCTGCCTCTACCCCACATAAGTCTATGTATATAAAAGTATGTCTGAAAAGACAGAATTAAGAAAACTGCCCAAAATAATTTTTTAGCTTTATCTAGTAACATTGTCAAGCAGGAAAGATTAATTCTAGGTTAGGCCCTGGTTCTGTATCATCTGTATGTTAGGAATAAACATTTTAAATTCTTATTTCAATATCTTACAACAGTCTTGTGGGGGGAAAAAAAAGGCTAGTTACTAGAACTTAATACTTCTCTAAGATCATGAATGTGTACAGGATCATTTTTGGAAAAGTAAAGATAATCTTTTGAGTCTGCAAGATGTTATGAGTGCCACCTGCTGCTGAAAGTGGGACTTATGTGGACCAAGGGACTGGGGTTCATCCCATCTCAGACCCAGCACCCAGAGCAGCTGCCCCTCACTCCATACAGTCACAGGCCAGGGGGGAGCTGCCTGCTCTAAGGTTTCCTTTAACAGGTGGGAAAGGACAAGCTTGCTAAGAAGCATGTAAATACCAGTTCTCACAGCCTCAAGGCACACTGCAATGTGCTTTGCCATGGCTTGAGCAGCTCAAGGATACCTTGAGTGCCAAGGACTTGGGCTGCTAAGATAGACATATGTATGTATCCCTCACCTCACAAAAACAGTGGGAGCTGGAAAGGATGTAAGTGCTGGAATACTGAGCAGCACTGTACCCCATTCTCCAGGCAGCAAGACACCTCAGCTCTTTAGCAGAGAGTAGAGTACTCACCAATAACTTAGTCTCAGCAAAAATATTACACAAACCCCCCACATCAGCTGCAGCAGTAATTTTATTTTTGATCCAAGTGCCAATTAAGATACTGATTATTAATCACAGAATAGTTTAGAGCTTCATCTGGAGGATAAATACTCACATAGGGGAACAAATGAGCACTAAACTTAGCTACCTTAGTCTTAGATAATCAATTTAATACTGCTTCTATCCAAACAATAGTCACACTATTTTGAAAGTGGTTAAGATGTAGTCCTGGTCTTTTGGCTGTTTGAGACAAATTTTACTGAGGGAGGTACTCGGGCAAGCTCAGCCTTTTAAAGCAGTAAGATAACCATTCTTTCTGCTGTTTGTATTCTGTACCTCAATGCTGTTGATGAACATTCATGCACAGAATACAGATGCAGTGTTGCTTCATTAAAAAATAAAAATCTTGTAATTAATTAAATCATCTCTTCAATGCGGGAAATTCAAACCACATTTTGAGATTAAAGAGTTGAGCCACAGTATTCCAACTTGATACACAACAATCACATGAATACTTAAAAATTCTTGCTTTAAAATATTACTAAAAAATCATTATTTAAACGATTTAAATTATTAGCTATAGATTTATGCAGAATAGAGATCTGCAGTTATATGAACTGCTTTTATAATGATCACAACAAGCCCAATTTGAATCCTGCAGTTAAACTGTAATTGTTTATGCCAGAGGAAGATAATGCCTTGGCTGTTCCAAATTCTGATCATCTGTCATTCAGGTCACCTACATGTTTGATATGAGAATTTATTTTCAGCATGGTATAAGCTCTGAAGGAAAGCCCCCTCATTACAGGAATTAGGCACCATCCTTTGAGAAAAGCAGATACAGTAGTTTCAATATTCCTTGGCCAAAATCCCAACCAGATTTGTGTGCTGCTGGCCTCTGAACTACACTGGCTTTACATGTTTAGGCAGCAACAAGGGAAAAAGTGCTGGATCTTGGAGTATGCTGATGTGGTTCTGCAGGTGCCACAGCAGTACCAGCATCTTAAGAGCATAGTGCTCTGTTAAATACCAAATCAGTCTAAAACCAGGGTTCTGTCTCTTTCTAGGCATTATGTTTCTGTTCCTTACCAAGGTGGTTACGCTGCAGCAATTTTGCATCTTACTACAATGTGTTCAAATAAAAGAATATTTAGACATATTTGTTCCGTGCAGGAAGCTCAGGGAAGTCTTCAGGTAACAGAGCGTGGCCACGGCAGATTGGGCAGGTACTGGAGTGTTGCTTAAGCCATGTTCTAATGCACTGCAACAACAGGAAGATGGTGAGGAAACCAAGTCTGGTATAAAGAGTTCAGCTTAAGTATGTCAATAATTGTCACTAACAGATAAGCACTTTTCCAAAATGTTCTATGTTAATAAAATTTGCAGTTAGAAAACTTCAATTGTGGTGCTGTGCTGATCAGTTTACATTTGCACCTACTCTGCATATCAGCAGTAAACAAATAAGGTAATGGGAAAAGTCACCAACAGAAGTATAAGGCTATTTAACATAATCCTGACTTTCTTACTATGCAAAGTTATAGGCGCAACTGCCATCAGGTGGCAAATGCAGGGTTTATAGCGACAGCCCATTCTGCAAGTATGCTGCAAACAAATCTGACTTGACTACCAAATTTACTCTCCAAAGAATAAGCTTAAATGAATTATCATTTTAGTTAAAAATCTAAAGCTGAAAACTTTCTGACCCAGTAAGACCATATATAGAGCAAGTCTTAGTGTACAAAGTACAGAAGAGAAAACTGCACTGTTCTTTAACCACTGAAGGGTGTAAGGAGGGAGAGGGTTGCTTTTGGAAAGTAGAACAGCAGCATAACTGAACAGAGTTCATAAACATTTGCATCTAATTGATAAGAACAAAAATCCTTACTTCTCTGTGAAAACGATGCCCACATTCTAGTTCACACGAGTCTCTGCTTAGCTCATCATGACATATTGTACATGGATCATCACTGGAGGCCTGTTGATAAAGTGTTATTTGAAATTCATCATCAAGTTCTAAAAAGGTAATGAAGTTACTAATTTTTATCTAAGTGTATTTATGTTTTTGTACACAAAATGAACAAGTCAATTATTTTTTCCAGCAATACTTTGATTATTTCATGTCTTCTAAGTAGTACATGGCAGTCACTTCACATTCACTGAAACAGTGAAGAACTTACTGTAAAGTCTGCTTTTTTCCATTTAGATTTAGGTGTTGCTCCAACATTCCCCCAGGGCTGAAGATTTGGCCTAGATGGACTTTTACTCAAGGCATTCTTATGTGTGGGTCGTGCCTTGGGCAGGCTGGGTACATTTTCTTCTGCAGGTACTTCCCTACGCCGAGTTCTAGTCTGTGCTGGTGAAGCAGAGGATACCACAGGTCCCCCTGTTGAAGTTGGTGCCTAGACAGGTATTGGGAAAGAATTTGGAGCAAGTTCATATTTCAGAGTCTGACAGCAAAGGAAAGTCTGCATTTTTTTCTGGGCAGCGCTGCACTGTCAGAGATGCACAGTAGAAAAGGCAGCAACTACACAGACCACAGTACCTTACTTTGCTGGTCCAGAATGAGTTCTGTCACTCTGCTTAGAATTTCATCAAAACTCAAACCTGACAACGTATTCCCGTTTCTTCTTTGTGCATCTTTTATGAAGCTAATAAAGTCTGAACTGAAGGGACAAAAAAAGGACGTAATTACTGATTGGCAATACTATGGCTGTTATCATGGTCACAGCATTAGAGAAGACTGTAGCTTCCACGTTTGATTCACAGCAGTAAAGCCTTTAAAAGATACTAACTGGTCAGATAAACTGTGGCAAGTACCTCCTTCCAGTACCTCTCAATAACTAGGATCTACCTTAATCATAAAAAACCCCAAACAATAAAATACTTGTTAGTGGCTCTAATTGGACTAAAAAAACAACACACACAAGCCAACACCACAGGTCTGTTCCCTTACAGAATACCTCACTGAACGGGAAAGGGAGGGAGAACGACTAATATTGTTATTCACATGAAATAGAAGCCATCTACTACTTTATCACTGGATGTTCAGAACTTCTGTTACTCAACATTACACTCATTAAAACAGTTACCTGCTATAGTTAGGGAATATACTCTGTAGGTGCACAATAATATTTTCAAATGCTTTCGGAAGCACTTTGTTGCTTGGAAGTCCCGGCTGCCTCAGCTGTATAGCCGAGTCATCTCGGTGGTTCTGTTTTGGCTGGACATTCTGAGTGTTACTTCCAGAAATCCCTGATGGATGAGTTGCCAAAACTTTATCGGAATATGATCCTTCCAGAGGTTTGGAGTGTGTTTTCACTGATCCACCATTTGCAGAACAGGCTTTGGAATTTGCATATGCTGGTTTAACTCTGGTCTGTGTATTAGATGAAGCATGTACTGGACCTTGATCTTCAGAACTTGAAAATGCAGGAAGTAAATTAGGACGTGCAGCTGCAGAGGAATACATGACAATGGCTGGATCGCTGACTAGAGTTCTGCCTTGTTGTATCTAGGAAGTAAACATTTCACAGGAAA